GCCATTGAGTCAGCCCCGACTCATAGTGACCCCTCCTTGGGTTTCCGAGGCAGTATCACTACGGAAGTAGGATTGCCCAACCTTCCTTCCGAGTTTAGTTTATAGAAACAGGACTTACTCGCAGTCGTATAAGAGGCTTCTCTGGCTGCCGTGAATTTCCCAGACGTTCCCGTTCTGCATTGTCAAGCATTTCTTCAATCTTAAAGCACAAATATATAAAGATTAAAAAACAAAATACTAACTTTAGTTTGTGTTATCTGAATAGAAGCTCATATTCCTTTGCTTATGAGCTATAGGAATCTTCCAAAACTACAAGATCATCTTTATTTCCTAGTTTGTTACACCTTTTTAAAACATACTTTCCTTTAATTATAATATTCCCAACCATATTATTCCTTAATGACTTTCTTTTTCATCAAAGTTCTTAATACAATAATTTTTCAATTTCTAAAACGAACTTTTTAGAAAAGAAGTTAAAACAATACTCTATACAAAGATTTTAACTCATTTCAATGTGGCTTCTCTTATTTTAACGTAAAACCAAATAAATGTAATTTTTTCAGTCACACTTCCAGAAGACTGAGCAGAATATCTGGGGATATATGAACAAAAGATCATAGATTATTTACCCAGAAGTTCAAGTTAAAAGAAAACAAAACCACTGTTTTCAAATATCTGAAGCTGTCTCAGATAAAAATACTTAATTTAATATTGTTCCTGAGAACAGAACCAAATTACATAGAACCAGATTTTAGCTCCAACAAAAGAAATTTGACTAGAGTTTTTCAGCTATAAAAATGGATCTGAAGGTATCTAATCAGTATTTAAGTAAGTATTTGTGAAAAAGATTCCAGTATTTAGTAAGATGTTAGATTTCTTAGATCTCTTCCAAGTCTCAGATTTTATAATCTTGTCTTTGAATGATACTATAAAACAGTTATTTTTGCGATGATGGAAATGTTTTCTATGTATGATTTAATATGGTTGCCATAAGCTGTATGTGTCTACTGGTCATTTAAAATGTGTCCAGTACAAGTGAAGAAGTACATTTTTAATTAAGTCAAATTAAAATAGCTACATGTGTTAGTGTATCTATCACACTGCACAGCACAGATCTGTAAGAATGAGATCTACTAGGTCAGTTCTTTCAATTCAACTTGCATGTACCTACCATTTAGGAGCTCTGTGGTGGAGTGATTAAAGCATTCTTCTGCTAATCTAAAGGTCGGCAGTTTGAACTCACCAGCCACTCCCAGGGAGAAAGATGAGGCAATCTGCCTCCCTAAAGATTTACAGCCTTGGAAATCCTATGGGGGCAGTTCTATTCTGTCCTACAGGATCACTATGAGTCAGAAGCAACTTGATGGCAGTGGGTTTTGGTTTTACCATTTGTCAGGTTCTAGGTCACATGCTAAGATAGGAAAAGATATAAGCCCTATGCTCAAAGAGTTCAGAAGATACTCATATGCACGTAACATAAATTACCTTCTCTAAACAGAAGCTCTGTATGGCTTGAATTACTTTAGGATTATCTGGGTTAAAAAGGTCTGGATGATTAGCCAGAACAACATCTTCCATAAAAAACTGTCGCACCGTGTGAAGAGGAATTTTGTGCATGTTCATTTTCCTCCCCTTAATACGCAGCAAACCAACATGTCTGATAAGACAAGGAAAAGAAAGCCCAGTCATACTGTGTGAATCACAACTATCATATTTATAACTTACTTTTCACAAAACATTTCTTTATAAAATGATATCCTTAAAAATAAACGTTTCTGATAATTTAATCTTAAGGTTATATCATGTGGGGAAAAATGCTTAACATAAGTGGAATAAAATCTACTTATACTTGATTTTTCCTGTCTGGACAAATATAGTCCAATAAATCAAGAAACATATAACAATAAAATGTTATTAGGACTATGATAATAATATACATAGAACTCTTTGCAGATATATGTATAATTTTGTGTATATACTTATACACACACATATATAAAATTAGTAGTGGAGCAATGAAGAAAAAGCCAACGAACTTAAATTCTACTATCATATGCTTTAAACCTATTATTATTAACATTACAATCGGAACTTAAGGGGATTTAAATGGAAAAACCCATTCTAATTACTGAGTTTAATCACTGTTAGCTACTTTATTACATAATTCCCCCTCAAAAGTTTTTTTAAATGAGTTATGCTTTAATATTGCATATATAATGAGAAAAGTTGCAATTAAATTGTTTTAGGTGAATGTGTTTATAAATGGACTTTGCAAAATTAGTAAACCTTATCTACAACACTATAACTTGAAATTTAATAAACAAAAATGTTAGTCTTGAATTTGCCTAGTAAGTAGCAAAAGCATTACCAATACACATGGCTTAAAATCTGGTAAAACAGTAGGATGATCAACCTTCATAAATAAATAACAATACCATCAGTGACTTGAACCTATGGACTGATTAGAAAACTATGGTAACACAAATTTTTTTAAAAGTTGGTAAGGAATTTATAACAAGTGCCCACTTCTTTACAGCTTCTCCTGGGGAAAGAGAAGTAACCACAGAACTTCCAGGCTGTGACACATAAAAGAGCTGTTGTTCATTCTTGGTTGGAGCTATTTTACACTCATGTTCATGGCCCCAAATAACAAGGTCAATGAAGTCATCCAAAAATTGTTCTGGAATGAAGTTAGTGCTTCCATGTTTACTCCTACACCGAGAATGGAAAAAAAGAAAAGGCAATATAAATACCCAAAGATATAGAAAATTTCATATGAAGTAAGTCTACACAGCTCTATATTTATTTATTCACCAAAGATTTACGATGTCCCTTCTATGTGCCAGGAACTGTGCAAGGGATTGGGAATGCAAAGATAGTATCTAACACCCACCTTTCAGAGGTTATAAACTTGTAGGACACAGATAAGAGAAGAAATGTTAGACGTCAAAAACGTCCTGCTAGGAGATCCTGGATAGAGTGGGAGAACAATGTGGAACAAAACTCAAAATCATAAAAACAGACCAGGTTTACTGGTCTGATAGAGCCTGGAGAGACCCCCAAAACTATGACCCCTAGTTACCCTTCAGGTGTAGAACTGAATTCACTCCTGTGCTTTCAGCCAAACAACAGCCAGGCATACAGGGTGAACATTTACATCAGATAGATACACTCCTTGGAGCGATCAATCACAGGAGAACAGAAGGGCAGTGTTTACACAGGGAGATAGCTTAGGGACTGGAAATACATAGGAAAGAAGGACACAGGGAAGAAGTAAGTATAGGGAGAAAGTGGGAAGGGAGCTGTTACATTGTGGGGAATTGCAGTCAATGTCATAAAACAAAATATATATGAACTTTCTATGGAAAATCAATGTACTCTATAAACTTTCACCCAAATCACAGTAAAAATTAAGAGAAAAAAAAGCATTGCTATACTTGGAGCACCAAAAGAGAAAGTGGTCAATTCTTCATTCAGAGGCGGATTAGGAAAAGCACTACAGAGGAATGACACCCTCTTTAGTGAGGTCAGAAAAGCACAAGTTCTATCAATAGTACAGAAAATGAAAGTAAGCTAAGACTAAACTTAGTGATATAAAAACAAATCTCTAAAAATGATCATTTCTTCAATATTGTCTGTTTCTTTAATTATAAAAATAATTGGAGTGAAAATACCAACCTTGTATATGAATTTTTAATAGTAAATAAAAAATTGTATGAATAAGTGATTTGTAAACTCTGGTTTTATATCTAGATTAAACTAAAAACCAAACTCACTGTCATCGAGTTAATTCCAACTCATAGCAGCCCCACTGGTTTCCAAGGTTGTACATCTTTACATAAGCAGACTGCCGCATCTTTCATCTGCAGAGCAGCTAGTGGGTTCAAACCACCAACATTTTGGTCAGCAGCTGAATGCCTTAACCATTGCACCAGAGCTCCTTATACATAGACTACTTATTATTCAAAGATGTGTGAAAAATCCAAGGTGAAGGAAGACGAGGAAGAAAAAGTTAACATATTTTTTACTTAATCTGAACTCATTCACTCACTGTTTGAACAAGTACTTGCTATATGCCAGCCCTCTTCTAGACACAAGAGTGAACAAAGTCCCTGCTCTAGTGAAGGACTACAAGCATTACAATACTACTATATGTGTTTGATGGCAACTAACAACAATAACAAATACAAGCGTGCATGCATGCACACACTTGCACACACATGCTTATGAAGTCCCCAGGTGGGCACTCAACTACTAACCAAAAGGCTGGAAATTCAAGTCCACTCAGAAGCACCACCCAGAAGCACCTTGAAAGAAAGTCCTGCTGAACTACTTTCAAAAATTCAGCCATTCAACTTGGGACCATAGTCACAGGGGACATCAAACTCAATTGACATACTACACAAAACATTGTTCCACCTCCTACTTTGGTGAGTAGCGACTGGGATCTTAAAAGCTAAAAGAGGCCATCTAGATGCAATGATGGGTCTCTCCTCATCCAGAGCAAAGAATGAAGAAAACCAAAGATTCATGGAAACAATTAGTCCTAGCAACTGGTGCATCATCTGATCTGCAGCTTATACGACTATGAGACCAGAAGAACTAGTTGGTACCCAGCTACTACTGTCAACCACTCGGAGGGGGAATCTATGTAGGAGACCCTGGATATAGAGAGAGAACAATGTGGAACAAAACTCAAAAGCATTTGGGAAAAAAAAAGGGGGACCAGGTTTGCTGGTCTGATAGAGCCTGGTGGAACCACTGAGACTATGGCCCCTAGCTGTCTTTCAGGTCTGGAATTGACCCACACTTGTGGTTTCCAGCCAAACAAAGGACAGGCATATGAGTTGAACAGCTACCTGAGGTAGATATACTTCTTGGAGAGAACAATCATAGGAGAAAGAAGGGCTGTCTATGCACAGGGAGATAGCTCACGGGGCAGGAGCGCATGGAAGGATGGACACAGGGAAGAGGTAACAGGAGAAAGTGGGAGGGGAGTGTTGCATTGTGGTAAACTGTAGTCAGTGTTATCAAAGTGTATGTGAACTGCTGTATGGAAAATAGATTTGCTCTGCAAATTTTCACCCAAATCACACACAGAAAAAAAAAAAAAAAAAAAAAATCAGCCATTCAAAACCCTATGGAGCACAGTTCTAGTCTTCACACACATGTGGTCAACATAAGCTGGAAATGACTTGAAATAGGCTGTTCTTGGGAACAACCCAAGGTTTGGGGAACTTCAACACTTGGCTCAAAATTTTTCAGAGAATACTTTTACCTGTTCTGATGAATCACAAATAAGTTAAACCAAGAGTTCTCATCTTCTTTTGGTCTCAACATTGTTACATTTTTATTCACGAACATTCGATAGAGCCTTTCATCTGGAATAGAGCCTGAAATGGATATTACATTATTTTAAAACTGCTTCCTTATTTTGATTTGAAAAATGAACATATTAGACTTCTAAATTATGTGTTTATCAGACTATTTCATTTTACTATTAGAGATGCATTTGAAATCTGGATCTTTATTTACAAATGGAGATGTCCCAGGTTCTTATATGACAGCGCTCAGCTGTTAGTTGGCTCTTACTAAGTACTAGAAAAATTCATGTGGCTAAAACCTTCTATCATATGTTACAATCATCAGTAAGGAATAATGAGATCTGCTCCATTTTTTCCAAATGGAAACAATGTTATCTCCAGAATTTCATTTTACAGTTGTTTAAACAATTAGGTATATATTTACACCATTACAGTGTTAGGTATCATAACCCCAGTAAATGGTTGCTCCTCCTACTTTCACACTCAGGACAGATCCCATTAAGCCTCGGTCACCACCCGATGTTCACATCTCTTCATCCATCTGTTATCACTCAAACTCATCCCATTCTGTTCTATTGTTCTTCTTGTTGTTAGCTGCCACTGAGTTGGCCCCTAACTCATGGTGACCACACATGCGATGGAAAGAAATGCTACCTAAGCTGCACCATTCCCACAATTGGTTCCCGATAGGACCACTGTACCCCATAAGGTTTTCACTAATTTTCAGAAGCAGATCATCAGGACTTTTTACCTGGTCTGTCTTAATGTAGAAGCTCCACTGAAACTGGACCATAATCTTCACACCCCACTCCAATCCCAACCTTTCACTCTGCATAAGATTCTCTATAATCAGTAAATTCCCACATGTCATCAGTCTGTTCTCTGAATGTTGTTTCTACCACCTGGCCTTCCGAGAAATCTGGCTAGCCCTGAGGTTACCAGGTTCAGTGCAGCTCATATCCAGGAGCTGCAGAGCAGAAAGCGGTCGCTGTGCTCCTTGTCTTATTCTCTACTCACTATCACTTCCTCTCAGGATTGCAAAACACCCTTCTCTTCCTTGAGGCATCTGAAGCATATTATGCCATCTGGCTAAATTGCCTTCTCTCTCCCCTCAAAGTTTTCATCTGCCTAACTTCAAATCTTGTCAGTTTTCAGTGGTTCAACATCCAATTAAACCAACTTTTTAATGCCCTGGACTTTGAATGCCATGATGCATCTCCAGTTAAACACTCTGAACTGCACCTCACCCATCTGTTCCACTGGCCACAGCACTTCACCAATTTCACAAATGGTAATGTGCACACAAATAATAAAATTACATCTTACCTAAGCCATATAATGCAATTTTTGTACTTCCTTTTTGAAGCAAAACTGGACTAATTTCTATCTTCTCCACAGACATTGAACGTCCAAAGTGGTTTACCAATCCTGCACAACTTAAAACATCCAGGGCACAGAGTGCATCTGCCTATGCAAAAAAATTTCAAAGAATATTAAGGTGTATCTAAAAATAAATTATCTGCATATAGTGCTGTTCTTTATTAAAAGCATATGCTATATACTAGCTACAGAAACAAAAATTCGGGTAGTATATTCTCAAAATAAAATTACAATAGTAAAAGGATTTGCTACCTTTTTTCTAATATTAAATCTAACTAATAAATCACCCATGCAACTGGAAATCACATGCTAAATGTAAATTTAACATTTCATCAAAAACAAACAAACAAACAAACAGTTGCTATTGAGTTGTTCTAATCATCTGATCATGGCAACCCCATGCGTTGCAAAGTGTAACTATGCTTCAAAGGGTTTTCAGAGCTGTAACCTTTTGGAAGCACACTGTTAGACCTTTCCTCCCAGCCATATCGGCATTGGTTTGAACTGCCAACCTTTCAGTTAGTAACTGAGGGCTTAGCCATCTGTACCACCCAGAACTCCCAAAATATCAGGATTAACAAAATTAAGCCATGACATAATTGGTTCATAACATTAAGAGCAGACCTCTTAAGTCTTGGGAAAAAAGACTAACTAAATAGTCATTTATAAAATAATAGGTAAGACTAAAAGATATTTTGAGTTTAGGACCTTTAGTTTTACTCTCAAGGAGCACTTGTGGCTAAATGGATCAGTGTTCAGCTGCTAACCAAAAGGTTGGTGATCCACCCGGTGGCTCCCCACAGGAGAAAGACCTGGCAATCTGCTCCAGAAAAGACTACAACCCAAGACCCCTACAGGGAGCACTTCCACTCTGTCACATGGGGTTGTTATGAGGTGACATCAACTCAACAGCCTTGAACAACGACAAATCTTACTTTTGTATCAAATAGGAAATAAGGCAACCTTATCTAGATTTTAAATTATTAACGAGACAATTATTTCCTACAGGTGAGATTTAATGAGATAACAAATAACAAAAGCACTTGGTAAACTGTAAAGCTTGATACAAAAGTTATTCCTACTCCTACATGTGTATTACTAACAGCACTAATGAAACAAAACCATGACTCATATACCAATTCTTATTCCAGATTAAAGAATAAATAAATAAAGCATTATAAAAGATTAAATGAATGACAACTATTTATTTTAAAAAGTCAAGTTAATTATAAATTGCTGAGAAGAGAAGGAATACTTTTCACAGACAAAGTAAACTGGTCCTTTCTGAAATTTCAACCAACTACAAGAACACAATAGTTACCCCTGTGGGATCATCATGGTTGCCATGAATACTAAACACTGGAATTGAAATGTTGAGATTGCCATCTTGGTAGTTCACCCATGGAAACCTTAAAAAAAAAAAAAAGTTAATTAAAATCCTCTCCAAAAACTAATGCAGTTATATGCAAAAAGGATGATCTCACTTGACAAATGACCACTAGTCTAGAGCTTTACAAAAATAAATCAGTGCCTAGCTACCATTACAGAATGATGTGATCAAAAACTCTATGGAAAAGTCCTGATCAATAGGTGAGAAAATGTGGAACAAAATTTCAAATTATCATGGAATCCAGACTTTCTAGAGCCACTTAGGTTGGATGACAGCATCCCAAAACTAAAGTATAAGGAAATCTTTAAGCTTTAAACTGAACTACACAATAGTTTAATTAGAAAAGAATGTCTGCCATGAGCATCAGGTTCTTTTAAATTATTATCTATATGAGATCATATTGACAGCAGCAACTCGAAAGGTTAGATGAGAAGCCTGAGGGGCAGTGAGTTTCTGTTGATGATGGTGAAACAATTTGGAAAAGGATATCAAGAAAGGTGGCACAATTTGATGAATGTAACCAATGTCACTGAATTGCACATATAGAAATTATTGAATTAATGTATGTTTTTCTGTACATATTTTCACCAAAAAAAATAATTAAAAGTAAATAAATAAAATCATAATTCATTTCAATGCAAGTTTGAAAATTTCTTCAAGTGCTACATTTTAAAGAAAATATCCAGTAATAAGTGCTTAGAAACTTTAAGAGTGGTATAGCTGACTAATGGAAAATTAGTAGGCCTTCCAAATTTTAAAAATCTTTGTGCAAGATTGTTATTTGTAATGTGGGTGTGGGGGAAAAACATGTATTTTGCAATCCAAAAGACCTACCTTAAAAATTCTGGCACTGTAAGAATGTCCAAATATATAATAGAGCTAACAGGGGGCAAAGTTATAACTTCTTGGCCGCAGCCACCCACCCTGAAGGAGCAAGTAGTTGGACCTGTGGGCTCGGGACCATGATTACAGGGGACATCAAGCTCAACTGGTATAACATACTACACAAAACACAATTCTATGTCCTACTTTGGTGAATAGCTACTGGGGTCTTAAAAGCTTGCAAGTGGCCATCTAGATACAACAATGGGTCTCTCCTCACTCAGAGCAAAGAAGAATGAAGACAACCAAAGACGCATAGAAACAGGACTAGTGGACAATGCAAACCTCAGCCTACATGACCATGAGACCAGAACTAGACGGTGCCCAGCTACCACTGTCAACCACTCAGAAAAGGATCAGTGCAGGAGATCCTGGATAGAGTGGGAGAACAATGTAGAATTAAACTCAAAATCCTAAAAAAATAAAAAACCAAAACAAAACAAACAGGTTTGCTGGTCTGATAGAGCCTGGTGAAACTCCCAAGACTATGGTTCCTAGTTACCTTTCAGGTCAGAATTGAACTCACGCCTGTGGCTTCTAGCCAAACAACAGACAGGCATATAGGCTGAACATTTACATCAGGTAGATACACTCCTTAGAGCTATCAATCATGGGAGAACAGAAGGGCAGTGTTTGTACAGAGAGATAGCTGGTGGGGGGTGCAGGGAGCAGGAATGCATAGGAAAGAAGGACATAGGGAAGAGGTAACTATAGGAAGGAAGTGGGAAGAGAGCTGTTACATTGTGGGGAATTGCAGTCAGTGTCATGAAACAAAATGTGTACTACCATTTACTACCTGTGCAGCTTGAATAAATTATACAATGTACCTGAGTTCCAGATTCCCTTACAAATCACATAAACCAGAATCCTCACAAAATTGTGAGGATTAAAGGACTAAGTATTATCCAAGAAGTGTCCAGAGCAATCCCTTACTCTCTTCTCCCATTTGTATATTTTATTTACCATATGTATTTTCATAATGACTGCTAACCAGAAGGTTGGCAGTTCAAACCTACCAGCCACTCTGCAGAAGGAAAATCAGGCAATCTACTTCCATAAAGATTTACCACCTCAGAAATCCAAAGGGGCTCATTATGAGTCAGAATTGACTTGATGGCAGTGAGTCTGGTTTTTGGAATGTTTCAAAATGCAAACGGACAAAAGGTATATACAAAATCTCCCACCCACCCCTGCCCCCCGAAATTCAGCTCTTTACCCCAGAGTCAAATAACGTGATTTCTAGTGTATCTTTCCAATGATATTTTGTACTTATACAGGCAAATAAATATATTTTCTTTCTCTTTTCACAAACAGCAGTACGATATGCGTATTCATTGCTTAACATCCACAATACGCTCTGTGAAACAGGTAGGATGTTATGTTATTTGGATGTTGTGTAAATATCATGTACAGGCAGAACACCATATTATATACAGGCAGTCCTTACATAATCTACAGTTAATCCTCATAAAACTTAGTATACTAAAACCTTATGGGAGCCTACCAAACAAAGGCTGAGCTGTACCCACAGGAGGCCAACCTTGCTGGGTGTGTGCCTGTACCGGGCAGGGACTACACCAGCAGTCAGATCTGGATAGGGGAGGGGAGGCACTGAGATGTGGTTGTGGGCATTGGATAGGGAACAGGCTGTAGGTGCTGGCTGCTGCCACCCTGTTGGTACAGCTGCTTCCTCATCATGTGCCACTGCTGCTGGAGCCCATGAGCACCCCAGGTCAGCTAGCACTGCCAGCATCCACAGTAGAAGCAGAGGAGCTGCAGTGAGTACAGGACACTCAGACTGAAAGGGTGCAGGGTAGGTGTATAAAGCCAAGAGGAAGGGAAGGAGAAGGTGGGAGGAAGCAGTCTGGGGATTGGGACGCACCCTGGAGCCCTGCTGCTCATTCACTCTGGAGACTTGTGAATGAGTCTCCAACTCATACTTCAAAACCGGTAGGGGGAATGGAGAGCCATTCTTTTTTAAAAAAAAAAAAAAAATTGCACTGTGGTAAACTGTGGTCAATGACATGAGACAAAGTATATGTGAACTGCTGTATGGAAAGTGAATTTGCTCTGTAAATCTTCACCCAAATCACAATTTAAAAAAAAACCTGTAGGACCACAGATGTATTTGCAGTAGGCTATTGCCTGAACTGGTATTAAGCAACACATATCTTAATATAGATTTCTGTACCCTGCTTTTTACAAATCATTCTATATCTGTACATAAAAACCTTCCTTGGGTGTTTTGTCGGCTAGCTGCACAGCATTCCATTGTATGGATTACTATAGGTTAACGTAGTTCTTTTACAATGAACATTTAGACTATTTGCAGTCTTCTGCTTTACTATAATGGTATACGGTGAGTCACCTTGTATAAAAGTAAGTATGCCCCTGTGAGATACACATATAGAGATATAGATATATATGGAGAATAAATATCTAGAAAGGAATTTTTGAGTGAAAGGGTACACACATTTTTTATTTTGATAACTGCCGCCAAATTTCCCTCCATAAAGGTTATATAAATTTACATATATACAATGGCAATGCATGACACGGACAATTTACTCCTATTCTCATCAATCCAATGTTATTAAGTTTGTAATCTATGTCACTGGTTGTCAACCCTGCTAACCTTCTGGTTAGCAGTCATTCTGAAAATACATATGGTAAGTAAAATATACAAATGGGGAAGAGAGTAAGGGATTGCTCTGGATACTTCTTAGACAATACTTAGTCCTTTAATCCTCACAATTCTGTGAGGATTCTGGTTTATCTGATTTGTAAGGGAATCTGCCTAGGCCACACTCCCAGAGACTCTTAAGTTAATTGGCTTGGAGTAGAAACTGGGCATTAGTATTTTTTTTTTTAAATCGTGGTGAGATATATATAACAAAATATTTAAACAATTTTAATGTGTACAACTCAGTGACATTAACTACATGTTTCTAACAGTCACTACTATCCACTTCCAAATTTTTTTCATCACCCAAACAAAATCCCTGCCCCCATTTCCTCCTCCCAACATTCCCAGGTAACCAATAATGAATTTTGGTCTCTATGCATTGGCCTACACGAGATATTTCATGTAAGTGAGATCATAGAGTATCTGTCCTTTTGTGTCTGATTTATTTCACTCAGCATGTTTTCATGGTTCATCCATATCACAGCATATATCAGAACTTCATTTCTCTTTATGACTGAATAATATCCCATTTTATATATATTCCACATGTTATTTACCTGTTGTTTCAGTATTTTTTAAGATTTCTAGGTATCTATTATGTGTACCTATGATTGAGAATCACTGATCTATGCCAACTTGACAGAGGAAAAATGGCATTTCAGTATATCTTCATTTTGTATCTTTCTTAATATTTTTAAGATTTCAAATATTGAGATTTTATTTTAAATATTTTTAATGTTTTAAGAGACATTTTATTTCCTTTTGTGAATAATATCCCTATTCCTTACCCACTGCCTATTAACTTGTGGATTTTTTTTTTTAATTGACTTGAAAGAACTCTACTTATTAGGAAAATTAGGCCATTATTTGCAATGAGTTACAAATACTTTTCCTACTTTAACTATGACTTCTGACTTTGCTTCAGTTGACTTTTGCCAGACAGACATTTTTATGTAGACGATGTATCAATTTTTCTTTCATGGATTCTGGGTTTTGTGCCATACTTTCCACATCCAGATTATATTTTTCATTATCTAATAATTTCTTCCAGTACTTTCATTGAATAATCCTTATTTTTCCCCAGATGTCAGGTGTCACCCCACCAAACACTAAATTTTCACATGTATTTGAGGCTATTTCTAGAGTTCCTATTTTCTTCTACTTATGTGCCTATCAATTCATGAGTCATACTCACTTTTATTATTGTATAACTATAATATAATATCTAATTAAACTGGTCATTCTTCAGTAGTCTTCATTTCCAAAATGTTCCTATCTATTTTTGTCTATTTTTCTGTATGAATTAGTAAACCAGAAGAAGAAATCATCCAGAATGCAGCAAAAAGAGATAAATTATGGACAACATAAGAGAGTAAGAGATATAAAGGACCTTCAGAAAGAGAAAAAGAATAGGAAATAATGTTTGAAAATATGTGGTTGTTGTTAGGTGCTGTTAAGTCAGTATATGACAGAGCAGAATTGACCCATAGGATTTTTTATGTAATTTTTACAGGAATAGATTGCTAGGTATTTTTCTGGTGCAACCACTGGGTGGTTTCAAACCACTAGCCTTTCAGTTAGTAGCGTAGTGCCCAAGGCACTTGACTGCTAACGAGAAGAACGGCGGTTCAAACCCACCAGCCACTTCTTGGAAGGAAGATAGGGCAATCTATTTCCGTGGTGATACTGCCTCGGAAACCCAAGGAGGGGTCGCTATGAGTCAGGTCCAACTCGACGGCACATAACAACAATAACAACAATGGATAATTTCCCAGAATTACTGAAAAAAATAATTCTCAAGACTGCAATGCAAGATGAAGTCTAAGCAGGATAAACAGAACTAAATGCATTAAACAGAATTGTGAAAGACCACAGACAATACAAAAACCTTAATAAATACTTCACTGGTTTCTTTATAAAGAGGTCTTGTGGCATAGAGGGAAGGCATTTGGCCGCTAACAAAAAGGTTGGCAATTCAAACCCACCAGCTGCTCCCTGGGAGGAAAATGAGGCAATCTACTTCCATAAATTTATAGCCTTGGAAATCCAATGGGGGTCACTATGAGTTGGAATCGACTCAGCAGTGGGTTTGTTTTGGGGTTGGTTTTGTTTATGCCAGTCACTATTGTAAGCAATTTTCGTATGTTAACTCGATCCTTACAATAATTCTGTAACAGACACTATTGTTTTCCAGTTTCAGAAACGAAGAAACTGAGGCAAAGAGGTTAAGTGACTTAGTTATACAATATGTGATAGTTCTGTTCCAGAATCCATGCCCTTAATTAGTTATACTGCTTTCTAGCAACTAAGCTAACAGCAGACTTCTTAAAAGCAACAACGTGGCTACTACAAATTATAAATTATAACTGGTATTTCCTTTATATCCAGCCACTGTCAACTTAGAATTCTATAGCCAGCTAACTTATCATTCAAGAGGAGAGGCAAAATGATGTTTTACAACAAAAATTAAGTTTGCCACTCAGATATCCAATGAAATAACTATTAAAAACTACACTTTAGAAAAAAGGGAAACTAATCTAGATAAAAGGTAATAAATTGTATTAAGTAAGTATGTCTATTGGAGGGGGGGAGGGACAGCTTAAAAACAGGATGAAAATAAAATGAAAGATGGAAGACAATACAGTAAAAATGTCCCAAGTTTTAGATTTGAAAAGAAGAATGGTAGAGATAGTGATAAGAATTCTTAAAAACAAGTACATACTTTAAAAATTATAAAAATCTTTTATACCCAGTTCCATACTTAATCACACTATTGATCAAGATAGATGG